GGGTTTTAAAAATTTAGAATAGGTGCATCTTTCTTGTCTTACACTGATGGTTTCATTCCAAACATCTCTTGGGAGGCATAGAGCATATACAGGAAGCCATCTTCATCCCTTTCACTTTCATATACTTCGAAGATGGGCATGCGCACACTTGCCATGCTGTCCATTCGCCAGTAGGAAGAAGGCTTGATTAGCATTGAGCTGGAGGTGCCTTCTAATTATCTAGATAAGTTCACTCATGTTGACATGATAGGTACCAGGAACTTGGTTTTATCCAAGACAGGAAGCTGCTTCTCACCCTTGTACCGTTCTATTACCACTGGTATTTTGGTGTGATGCTGTTCTCGGATAAGTCGGACATCTACTCTTGGTTCGAAGGTACAATGCTGCTTGAAGGTCCTCTATGGCATAGCATGGGAGCTGCATGGTAGCCGCTTGGACTCTGGTGATAGCGACCACATTTCTAATTTTTATTCCCATCTACTGTGTACGAGATACTTTCCATTTTGCAAATTGTAAGCGATGTTGTGTATCTCTTTATCATAGCTCATTGCTTGGATTTCTGGTTTTGTGAATTGCCTCTCAGTGTTCTTTGCTGTTAAAATGCTGAACTTTTTTTTTTTTTGAGAGGTTTTTGCGCTAGGGTGTGTGTGCTTACCAGAAAGACAGAGACAGAGAGACAGAAAGTGAGAAGTCACCCCCCAGGGGGGATGGCCATGCTGCAATCCCTTCTCCTCCGTTCTCCTCTCAGTATCTTGAGCATGTATGCACACGTGACCGGCGTGAGTTTAAGCCACTGGGTCCGAGACTCGAACTACGGTTGATTACATGGGAGTCCAGCAACATAGCCATTATACCAACTGCTGGTCCCGCTGAACTTTTGGTCTCTTACTGACTGCTTATTTGTCCAGGTCCCATTCAATTCTCCTCTGTGGAGGCTTCTCCATTTCCCCTGAGCAGCCAGCTGCCCCCTCCTCTGCTGTCCTACACACTACTTGTAACTGCACCTGGGACTTCATTTACCAACCCTTTCATATCAAACCCACTCAATTCACAGGTATTCACTGTGATCCTACTATGTGCTCAGCCTTGGGCTAGGTGCTGGGTGGAGACAGGAGCAGGTCATCATAGCCTCCAAGCTCAGGATTTTAGTTTCAAATGCAGCAGTGGGCATAGAAAAGGGCATGAGTTTTTGATTTAGACAAAGCTTGGGTTTGAATTCCAGCTCTACCATTTCTCAGTTGTGTAGATTAGAGTAAGTGAACAAATACTGATTGAAAAGCAACTGTTAATAAGTCAAAATGCTTACTTAGTTCTCAGGTGTCCTAGGAGCTACTCATAAATTGGAAAAAATAAAAAAGGAAGCAGCTTTTCTCTTGCAATGGGAAGGATGATGAGTAACATGGGTCATTTGCCAAATCCTCTATCCCATCTTCCAGGTCCTCTGCAGCAGCTTCTATTTTGTCCTGGTCCCTCATTCCAATACAGTTGCTACTTTTGATGTAGTACTGCCACTGCCAGAGAAGAACAGGTGCTTCCTCCCTCAAATAAATGGTCTCTTTAGAACATTCTCTACCAGAGGCTTCAGGATACCTATGCATGCTGCCACCCTTGATTTCGAGAAGGGGAGGAAAGATAAATGCAATACGTATGTGGCTGAGAAGATACACAGGAACCTGGACTGTAGACACAGCTTTGTCTGGACTTAACGATTCTTGGTAAATTTCTTCCTTTTTGGCTTCAGTTTCTTCATTACTCATTAGGAGACTGGATCTCATGATTTCTAAAGTTTCTAACTGAGAATTCACTATGTAAAGGCATGGGGCATGAATATCTGCATTACTCTTTTTAGTCAGAGATCTCTGTATCCTTGGGAATTTTGTAGCTCTTTATACTCATCTACATATTTAATTTGTATTTATTTATTTATTGCTATAGAGCACATGTGCTCACCAGAGGGAAAGTGAGAAATTACCACCCCAAAGGCTACACTTCAATACCTTCTCCTCCAGTCTCCTCTTAGGACTTTGGGCAAACACACAAATGGGCCAAGAGTTATTTTCAAGCCACCAGGTCCAGGACTCCAAGGGCACAGTTGGCCCTGTGGGATCCAGTGACTTAATCTCCACCCCATCTGCTGGGTCTCTTTATACCCTTCTTAATGCCATGGAGCTAGTTGGGTTCTCCCACAGAACTGACAACTGGTGGATCTAAATCTAGTTTCTTAGTGCCTACATTTTCATTGAGCGCTCTGCCATCTCCCAGGCACTGCGACAGCAAGTGAAGACACAAAGATAAAATACCAAAGCTCCTGCCTTTAGGGAGTCTACAATCCAGCCAGGAGATTTACCCAAAGTGTAAGGAGTCCAGAAAGAATGGCTTTCTGTCTAGCTGAATTGGAAGGTTTCCCTTAAGACCCCGGACTTAAGCAGAGTACAGTGATTAGGGGTGTTACAAGGACAGGAAGGGCTTTAAAGGCGTTGGCTTGTCCTCTGTAAAGGCAGCATGGCAGTGAACAGATAGGTAGCTCACAAGTGCCTTTTATGCAATCCAAAACCCCTTAAGTTTTAAGATAAACATGAAAGGAATGACTAAGGCATTTTGAGCATGAAAAGGAGTACTCTTTGTTAACTACATGGGAAACACTGGGAGGCTAGGGCACGGCAATTAGGAGAATTTCCTAAACTTGTGGCCTTCAGCAGATCACTAACTTAACCTCTCTAAATCTGTTTCCTTATTTTGTGTGTGTGTATGAAATGAGAATTTAAAAGAGCAACCTGAAAGAATTACTGAAATGTTTTTTAAAGAATCATTTATTTAATTTTATTTATTCATCCATTTTTTACTTTATTTATTTTTTTATTTGACCAGAGGGTGGGAGAGAGAGAACGTGAGAAAGCAAGTCACCAGGTCTGGGACTCAAACCATGGCTGGCCATGTGGAAGTGTCCAGCACCTTAACCACCACACCATCTGCTGGTACCCGAATTACTGAAATTTAAAAGATTATATATAATACATTTATAGAAGTAAGCCTGGCACTTGATAAAAGCTCAATAGTTCTTTAAAACACAACTCTTACTTTATAGACACATTACCTAAACAAATGATCCAGGAAGCTCTGTGAATTACTTACATACCTGCTTCCTCATATGAAAATGTGTTCTTCAATTTCACCTTTTCACAGTACCCCGTTTCTTTTTCCTAGTCGTGATCTTAATCAATTTTTTTTCCTATAGTGCACTTGCACTCACCAGAAAAAGACAGAGAGAGACAGAGAAAGCAAGAAATCACCCCCCAGGGAGGATGGTCACGCCGCAATCCCTTCTCCTCCATTCTCCTCTCGGGATCTTGGGCACGCACGCACACACGCCCAGCGAGAGCTTTAAGCCACCGGGTCCGGGACACGAACCGCGGTCAACTACGTGGGAGTCCAGCGACATAGCCATTACGCTAACTGCTGGTTCCCCCTGGGTCATACTTTTAAGACTATAACAAATTATCTGTATTGTCTTTTCAACTGGACTCTTGGCTCTATAAGACCAGAGACTTTTTATTTTTTAAAACATAACTTTTATTTTCAAGATTTTGCTACAGGGTTAGTGTGCCCTAAAGAGAGAGAGAGGGGGGGTGGGAAGAGAGAGAGAGAGAGAGAGGGAGGGGGGGAAAGAGAGGAGTGTCCCCCCCCACAGTCCGGAAGTGGCCCCCCCACCAGTCCGTGCGTGGTGGACACACTACAATCTTTTTTCTTTTTGCTATAGGGCGTGTGTGCTCGCCAGACAGACAGAGACAGAGTGACAGAAAGCGAGACATCACCCCCAGGAAAGGATGGCCATGCCGCAATCCCTTCTCCTCCATTCTCCTCTCGGGATCTTGGGCACGCATGCACACGCGCCCGGCGTGAGTTTTAAGCCACCCTTCCGGACGAGAACCGCGGTAGACTACGTGGGAGTCCAGCGACATAGCTATTACACTAACTGCTGGTCCCTACAATCTTTTTTCTATTCTCTTGGGATGTTCTCACTTGCGAACCTGGAGTGTTTTTCAAGCCACTGAATTGCAACTCCAACTGGGTAGTGAACCACCTGGGATCTGGCCATCTTAACCACCATGCCACCAGCTGGCCCAATCTTGTACATTTTACCACCTACCAGCATTTTCGAGGGCTGCCTGGCTCTAAACTGATCGAGAAGAATCAAAAGCAAGCATATCTTGCAGAACTACTGTGAAGAGCCAATGAACTGCTATGGTGTTTTGTTATTTGTAAAGTTGCACACATGAGTGTAGTATGACCAAGAACTGAAATAAGCTGTGAGAAGAGGAACCAAAGCCTGGAGCTTCCAGCACAACCTGTGGTCCAAGGGCCAGCGTAAACACCAATCTTTGGCAGACAGCAGCAGCTCCTCTAGGTTCACAAAGAGTTAAATCTGTTGCCTCGGATTCCACAAAAGTAGGAGCGCCCCAGGGTGAGTTAGGTTCAACCTGAATCTTCTATAGGCTTAAGGGTACAACCTAAGATCACCCAGTCCACAAAAGAAGCTAGGAGCCAGATCTCTTAAAAAGCTTTCACCTCGCCTGTGTCCTCCTGTTCCGCTCGCAAGTCGCCCGCCGCGCCTGCCCTCGCCCCCTTCCCTAACCTCCGCTGCTCCGGAGCCACGTGGCGTAGAGAGAGCAGTCCGCAGAGCACGAGGGAGGAGGAGGCGGTGCCGACCGGAGACTTGCCCAAAGGCATTTTGGGAGTGGTAGTTTTCTTGTGGCCACAGAGCGCAGGAGCTCTCCCTGCTTGTGCCAGGCAGCTAGTAGCTTCTTCGTGCTTGTTTAAACGAAGTATGGCCCGTGGTAGATACGAAAGAAGGCGGGAAAGGGAAGAACTAAAAAAGCAAAGGCGAAGCAAAAGATGATCGGAGAGGAAGGGAAAGGGTTAACAGTTGCTACGCATGCGCACACACAGCCGGAGGGTGGCGATGGTGGGCGGGAACGGAAAGGCGAGTGCCGAGAGCCGTGTTTTCCCCGGAAGTGCCTCCCCTCTTCCCGAGTCCGCGCGGACGCGGCTCCCTTACCTCATTTGTCCTCGCCCCTCCCCGTCCGTCTACGCGTTTTGGTTCCTGGTTGGTGCTTCCTGGTCGCAGCCGCGGCAGTGAGTATGTGTGTCACGGACCCTGAGCCTTCCGCGGCCTGGGGACCCCTGCTCATCCTTCTTCTCGCTCATTGGGCTGTAGAACTAGCGTGTACCATCTTTCCGATTTCCGTGTCCTCGGCCCGGCCCCCCACTCGTGGCGGGATACAGCTCATGGCCCCTCGGGCGCGCGCCGCCCCGTGCGGCTTGGGCGATCGCCTGGGGGTCCGCGTCTCTCTTCCCATCCGAGGCCTGGGCAGTGGCTGGAAAAGGGCTGGGCAGTCATGGCCTCGGCGGGAGGTGGCGTTTCTAAGTGTCCTAGCCCCTTCCCCGGCTCCCCCAGCCTTCCAGGTTCTTCAGTCTATTAGGAAACGAGATCAGTCAAACGCCGAGGTCCCACCGTGCCGGGAGGGAGTCGGGCCTTGACGTCCCAGCAGTCCTGGGCCAACTCCAGCCAATGCTGTCAGCGATAGCAGTGGGACCAGAAAGAACTTGGGAGATGTGCCCCTGCTCTCATGTGAGACAAGGAGACTTAGATCATGATCCCTAAGAATCCATTTATCCCTCACATCTTGTGAGCCGACAGTTGCCTCCAACTTTAGGGAAGAAGAGCTGCCGGCGCAGTGGAAAAACTGGCTTGGAAGTCTTCAGGCCTGGGTGCTGGCCACGGCTCCACCGACTCGCTGGTGTCCCTAGAAACCTATTATTTAGGTTGAATTTATGATAATTTCTGATGATAGGGTCAAGTTAGGTCTCTTAGAGATGACTTGAAGTTTCTGTGAACCCCTTTTTTTCAAGTATAAATTGGGTACGCTCAATTTGCTGACTCTGGTCCCTTCAGAAACGCTTGAGTTTTTGCTTTGGATACTTTGACTGTCATATGCAAAGACTTAGGTGAACTCTGTGTATTTAAGACATTATGCTTTGAGGACAGTTTAGCATTGCCGAGTTTGAGTCTGAGTGTGGGAAAATAACAGGAAGAATTGGAAGTAGGGGTTTTGTGTATGATAGCTACGAGGGTCAAAGACTGGATGGCAAAAGGGAAAGGACCGAAAGAAATGTAATGGACGTTTTCCCAGATCGGGTTAGTTCTTATAAAATGGGTTTGTGTATGCCAAGAACAACCGAAACTTACTTGAATAAAGTTAGCAGAATTTACTGTTGCCAAGATACTGTGTCGTCTTACTCTTTTTTTGTGACCACTGTTTCACTCATTTGGATTCTCTGCTCAAGTTCAAAGTGGCATATTGGAAGAACCCCCAGACATTGTACCCATACAGTCAACTCATTTGTGTCTTACTGACAGAAAGTTTAACTATGTAGCCAACTTACTTGTGTCTGACCTGTCACTGTCAGTGCAGCTCCCTAAGAGTAAGTTGGAAGTTTCAAGTCGAAAATTAAGTATTAATCACTTTAAAGTGAAGCTGTGGATTTGATTTAAATCTGCCTGAGATAGATGCCTTTGTCATCAAGAAGGAACTATCTAGGGTAAACATGCTTTGGAAAGAAGCGCAAAATGTCTGAATGTCCAGTAGGTAGACTGTTAGAGCAGAAGAGTTGGTGTTAAAGATTGTGTAGTAAATTCTGAGAGCTTAATCAGCCTTAAGCTAATTTAAAAAAAAAGAAAAATTCAGTGAATGAATGCTGCTCCCTCTTTTGAGAGAGCCTTTGCAGTTTTTCTCTATACCTGTTTTGTGTTTGTTTAGCTATTTAAACTCTTTAGATAGGCTTTATTCCTAGTCTCATGGTTCCCCTTAGAGGAACCATCTCTTTTGCCTAGGGGACGGATAAAGTCTGTGAGTACCAACTTGGGAGCTTCTCGGATGGTAAACTGACAAACATATGCTTTCCTTCCAATTAGAATACCTCTTTTATAGCATTTATATGTCACGGAAGTAAAATGTGTACTTGTGAGGTAATTTTAAGTGTTAGAACCAGTGTAAATAATGAAGGAAGCCTTTTTTTTTTTTTTTTTAATCTACAGTTCTTTATTTAACCTCACGCCTTCTTACCTCTGTGGACCTCAGTTTCCTTATGTGTAGGTGAAGAAAGCTGTGAAAGATACTTAGAAGTGTCCATTTCAGGTTTAACATTTTGTGACTGTCATAAGACTTTGTTACTTATTTAGTTAACAGTGATCAAAAAGCTGAGAAGGCCTGAGTCAAGGGGAGTGTATGTGTGTGTACAGGCATATATTTGTCCTCCGAGTATTTGCTTTTTTTTTTTAATAAAGTAAATTCATTTGAATGTAATTAAAGTACAAACTTAAACCAAAACAGCTCCAGGCAAACCCTAACCCTAGCATACATAAGCTATATAAATAGAAGAGAGAACGTTATGCTGAGCACAATTTTCAAGTACAGGAGGCACAAAATCCTCTTAAAGGCCATAGGGGCTAAATTGTTCCATTCATTTTTCTACATTTCAGGGAAAG